GCCCCTGTTTCCAAGTCCAACCCCGTCCCAGCTGTCCTTTCACAGTCCAAACCTTTCACAGTCCCATCGTACCTGTCTCAGGCCAAACCCTATCCCAGCTGTCCTGTCCCAGTCCAAACCCATCCCAGCTGTCCTGTCCCAGTCCAAACCCATCCCAGCTGTCCTGTCCCAGTCCAAACCCTATCCCAGCTGTCCTGTCCCAGTCCAAACCCATCCCAGCTGACCGTTCCCAGTCCAAACCCCTCCTTTCTGACCTGTGCCAGTCCAGACTTGTCCAGTCTGACCGGTCTCAGTCCTAAACCGTCCTGTCTGACGCTGGCCAGTCTAAACCCATCCTGTTTGACCCGCCCCAGTCCTAAACTGTCCTGTCTGACCCCTCTCAGTCCAACCCTGTCCAGTCTGACCTTTCCCAGTCCAAATACATTCTGTCTGACCCGTCCCAAACCTAAAACATCCCATCTCTCCTGCCCTAGTCCAAATCTGTTGCGTCTGACCTTTCACATTCAAAATCTGTCCTGTTTGACCAGTCCCAGTCCTAAACCTGTTCCAGTCCAAACCCGTCCCATCTGACCTGTCCGTGCCATCTGATTTGTTCCAGTCCAAACTTGTCCTGGTCCTAGTCCAAAATGTCCCAGGTAAAACCCGTCCCACCTGACCTTTCCCAGTCTAAAAACCCGTCTCGTCAGTCCAAACCTAGTCCTGTCTTGACCGTCCTAGTCCAAAACCCTTCCCCGGTCAAACTCCTCCCATCCAGTCCTTTGTTTCTCCCTGATTGTGTCAGACCCAGACCTTCATATCAGAATCCTGTTTCTAGTCTAAAACAATGTATCTCCTGCTGATCTGAAAAATCAATGCCAGTGATAAGATTGTCAGAAGAAACTAAAATCTGCACCTGTTTAACTATGAAGAACCTGATCAGGAAATCTGCTTAGTTTGTTTCTGGGTATTTGACCTCATTCTCAGCAGAGCTGGAGGTTGGAACACCATTAGTGTCCAAATTGAGCCATGTTAAAGTGAAGTAATTAGGTTGCCTCTGTACAGATGTTAATCTGTCCTCAGTGTTATCGCATCAGTCTATGGTCTACTCAATCATTGCCTACCATCAATCGATCCATCTGCCATAAAGAGCTGCAACAGAGAGACAGCCAACAGAGATCAGAGGAAGAGCCAAACTGAATACTGCAAGTCTCCAGCCAAAGTATTCTGAGCAACCGCGAACTGGTATCCTGCTGGACCCCAGATGACCCCCAGATGACCACCACTAACACTCTACCACTACACAACCAACAACCTCAGATATCCAACCAACCGTCAGGAAGAATCAAGCAGGGATCTACAGTCAGGAGGCATTTCCAAGCAGGCTAGTACCAGAATCCTGCAGAGGCCCATACAGAATCCAGCAGAAATCCAACTTTAACATTTAACCCATCGGTACTCACCTATCCAGCAGAACTGAGCAGATGGCATCTGACTGCCCCCTGACCACAAACTGCTCTGATCACCAGAAACGGGTGGGGATTGTGGACCTTATGGACCTCCCCGGTCCCAGCCCCACTCACGGCTTGGTCCCGGAGCAGCATCTGTTTCCTACTGTGGATGTTCCTGTGCATGCCCATTACATCATCGGCTCAGTGATCCTTTTGTTGGGAGTGACAGGAATGCTGGGAAATGCTCTGGTCATCTACGTCTTCTGTCGCAGTAAGACATTGCAATCTCCCAGCAACCTTCTGGTGGTTAACCTGGCAATGGCTGACTTCCTAATGTCAGTGACGCAGTCCCCGGTCTTCTTTGTGGCGAGCCTGCACCGCCGCTGGGTGTTTGGAGAGTTTGCCTGTGAGCTGTATGCCTTCTGCGGTGCTCTGTTTGGCATCACGTCCATGATGACACTCACAGCCATTGCAGTGGATCGGTGCTTGGCAATCACACGACCACTGGTGCTGCTAGGTGGAGTCAGCCGGCGGCGGCTCTGTGTGGTGGTCATGGGGGTCTGGGTGTACTCACTTGGCTGGAGCCTGCCTCCATTTTTTGGCTGGAGTGCCTACATCCCTGAGGGCCTGCAAACATCCTGCAGTTGGGACTATATGAGCTTCACAGTCACAGTGCGCACCTACACCATTTTTCTTTTTGTCTTTGTCTTCTTCATCCCCCTCGCTGTCATCGCCATTTGCTACTTGGCCATCTTCAGGGCCGTGCGGCAAGCAGCTCAGGAGATAGAGAGGCTAAACTGTGGAGAGACCATCAAGGCTTATGACCGTCTGCGTAGTGAATGGCGGATGGCCAAAGTAGCTCTGGGAGTGATTCTGCTGTTCGTTGTGTCCTGGTCACCATACTCTGCTGTTGCTTTGACTGCAACTGCTGGCTATGCCCACCTGCTGACTCCTTACATGAATTCAGTACCTGCAATCATCGCCAAGGCCTCTGCAATCCACAACCCCATCATCTACGCCATCACACACCCAAAGTATCGTGCCGCCATAGGCCGCCATTTCCCCCTTCTGCGTGGTGTGCTGCGACTGCAGGACAAGGACCTGCACTCTTCCTTCTGTTCCAGTGCTGCTTCATCTCGCCGGGCCACGCTTACCAGCTCCCCAGGAGTCCGTCTGGGTGCTGGTGTCCAAATCAATGGACGCTGGAGAAAGAGCCGCTTGTCCTCAGCTTCTGACAGTGACTCCTGCTGGACAGAGAGCGAAGCTGATGGCTCGGGTGCCTTGGCAACAGTTGTCAACCGGCGTCCTTCCACTGAGTTAAAACCTGAGCTGTCGGACTCGGCCCTCATGAGACAGCTGACAGGGCCCACCAGACAAACCGACAGCGAGTCACCTGACCGCTGTGCGAAAATGGAGACAAAACCCTTGCTGGTCCCTCTATGATGTCACCTCCCTTGGAAGCCATAGCACAACCCTCAGTCCTGGACCTCAACGCTCAGTCCTGTAGCCCAACCCTCAGTCCTGTAGCCCAACCCTCAGTCCTGGACCTCAACGCTCAGTCCTGTAGCCCAACCCTCAGTCCTGTAGCCCAACCCTCAGTCCTTTACACAACCCTGAGTCCTGGACCTTAACCCATAGTCCTGTAGCCCAACCCTCAGTCCTGTAGCCCAACCCTGAGACCTTGACCTTAACCCATAGTCCTGTAGCCCAACCCTCAGTCCTGTAGCCCAACCCTGAGACCTTGACCTTAACCCATAGTCCTGTAGCCCAACCCTCAGTCCTGTAGCCCAACCCTGAGACCTTGACCTTAACCCATAGTCCTGTAGCCCAACCCTCAGTCCTGTAGCCCAACCCTGAGTCCTGGACCTTAACCCATAGTCCTGTAGCCCAACCCTCAGTCCTGTAGCCCAACCCTGAGTCCTGGACCTTAACCCATAGTCCTGTAGCCCAACCCTCAGTCCTGTAGCCCAACCCTGAGTCCTGTAGTCCAACCCTCAGTCTGTAGCAGTCTGTAACAGTAAAACGTATTTTATTGGCCTTAAAGACATGTATAGTAAGTATAATTAAACTTGCCTTGCTTCGCCTGCATAGTTATTTTTTATTATTGATTATTTTATCACTTTTCAGTTCATTTTAATTCCTATCATACTTAGTTTTAATAATATTTCCCTCGCCTTCTATGGCACTGTATTGGAAGCGTATCCGTGTTATTTTTAATTTTTTTTTAATTGTCCTGCTACTGTAATATGCTATAAATAAACAACTTGCCTTTTCAACATGGTTTTACCATACTGTGTCCATTCCTGGCTGTGTATTGTTGTCTATAAGGTCTTTGGGTATTCAGCCACTCACAGTGACATTTTAATTACTGTTGGTTCTAACAATTCACCCATCAATAGTAAACTTACCTTCACTAAAACCTTTTTATCCTGCTTAGAAAATGTTGGTTTTGATCTATGAAATGATTCTCCACACATGAGAGGACATTAATCTGACATTTAATCTGCTGTTGTGGCCTTAGCCCCTCCTCTGCTGATGAACTTCTTGTAACTGGCCGTTTATCTAACATTTCTTAAAGGTGTGTCAGCAGTAAAGACTTCTGACTCGTTTCCTAACATTAGGAATATCATCTGATCTAAGATCAGCTCACATCTCAGGTTATCAACCTGAATGATAACCTGAGCTCTCAGCTCAGAAACGTTGCTCTGTGACCTTCTCCCACTCTGCTTCCCTGCTGAACTCTGATCAATGAAAGCGAAATGTCGTCAATTAGAACGACTCCATGAAAAACTGGTCTTTCAACCAACAATCTGCACCCGACTGGACTATAGCGCTCTCTCCTCTTTGGCCTTCCTTAAAATACCTCCATAGTCCTCAGCTGGATCAGACCTCAGCTGCCCCGTCTATCCAGCGCATCATCCCAGTCCTCCCAGCAGCTCCACTGGCTCCCTGTACAGGCCTGCATTCAATACAAACTCTCCTGGTGACATTCAGGACCCCCCCTTACCCCATGTCCTGTATGTTCCTGCCCCCCTCCCTCTGCTCTACAGTCTCACCACCGCCCTGCAGGCTTTGCTCCTCACCATAACCGCCATTGTTCTCTCCTCTCTAACCTCTGAGCCATTTCCAACTAGCCTTAAATTTCTAAAATACTCATCCAACTTATAATAACCAGTATGTTCCAGTAAAGTCCAGCCTCCAGTACTGAAACAGCTCAGCTAATACTCACCGTCTGACTCAGGTCTCCTTTCTATTCTCACTCCATCCTTCTCAATAGACCAATCAGCATCATTCCCTCCTCCTCTCCTAAAACAAGCCGCTCAGCTCTGATCTGTCCCCTGTCACTGCTGGTTTTCCTCAGGGCTCCATCCTGGGACCCGGAGTTTTTACCATTTACCTTCTGGTTGTTATCATAGTTATGCTGATGACACCCAGCTCTATCTATGTGGTCAGCCAAACTCTCTCCTTAATCCCTCACCTCATGTCTCACTGAAATTAAAGCCTGGTTCTCCCCTAACTTCTTTAAAGTAAATATCTGCTAAACAGAGATCCTCCTGGCAGAAACCAAACCAGTTTAATCCCAGACTGACATTTTCTGTCTATAGACAGCTCCGCAGTCTCTCCCTCGCTCCCTGTCATTCAGCTCCCTCGTCAATAACCTACATCAATTGTCTTTGTCTCTTCCTGCTCTGCTTCTGTTCTGGTTCATAGATTCATCACCTCCCACATTAACTACTGCTTTATCATCAGAAATATCTCCTCCAGAACTCGTTTATCACCTACAGAGCTTTCTCCTGTTTATTTTCCTTTATTTGTTCCAGGAGACGGTGCATATTAAAAAACATTTCTGCAGTTAAGGTCAGATGGGATGGGTTTGGACTGGGACTATTCAGAAAGCTGTTTTTTGTCGCCCTAAAAGAATAGAAACAAAATATAATTTTATCACATCAAAACAATTTAAAAACACAAAAGATTACCAATTATCCAATAATCAGACAAAGACTTGAAGATGCAAGAGGCACATATAAACGAAGGCAGGCAGGCAGCAGGGGGCAGCAGAGGAGGCTGGTGTCAGTTGGTGCTGACAGCTCCAACTGTCAATGAGCCATTTCTTTAACTGGATGTGAGGCTGTGCAGAAGGTCAGGATTGATGGATGGGGGCCGAGGGTCGGGATGGATGCGGTGCCGAGGGTCGGGATGGATGCGGTGCAGAGGGTCGGGATGGATGCGGTGCAGAGGGTCGGGATGGATGTGGTGCAGAGGATCGGGGTGGATGCGGTGCAGAGGGTCAGGATGGATGGATAGGGGGCCGAGGGTCAGGATAGATGCGGTGCCGAGGGTCGGGATGGATGGATAGGGGGTCGAGGGTCGGAATGGATGCGGTGCAGAAGGTCAGGATTGATGAATAGGGGGCCGAGGGTCGGGATAGTTGCGGTGCCGAGGGTCGGGATGGATGGATAGGGGGCCGAGGGTCGGGATGGATGCGGTGCAGAGGGTCGGGATGGATGGATAGGGGGCAGAGGGTCGGGATGGATGCGGTGCCGAGGGTCGGGATGGATGCGGTGCCAAGGGTCGGGATGGATGGATAGGGGGCCAGAGGGTCGGGATGGATGCGGTGCCGAGGGTCGGGATGGATGTGGTGCAGAGGGTCGGGATGGATGCGGTGCAGAGGGTCAGGATGGATGGGGTGCCGAGGGTCGGGATGGATGCGGTGCAGAGGGTCGGGATGGATGCGGTGCAGAGGGTCAGGATTGATGGGGTGCCGAGGGTCGGGATGGATGCGGTGCAGAGGGTCGGGATGGATGCGGTGCAGAGGGTCAGGATGGATGGATAGGGGGCCAGAGGGTCGGGATGGATGCGGTGCCGAGGGTCGGGATGGATGTGGTGCAGAGGGTCGGGATGGATGTGGTGCAGAGGGTCAGGATGGATGGGTGCCGAGGGTCGGGATGGATGCAGTGCAGAGGGTCGGGATGGATGTGGTGCAGAGGGTCAGGATGGATGGGGTGCCGAGGGTCGGGATGATGCGGTGCAGAGGGTCGGGATGGATGCGGTGCTGAGGGTCGGGATGGATGCGGTGCAGAGGGTCAGGATGGATGGGGTGCAGAGGGTCAGGATGGATGGGGTGCAGAGGGTCAGGATGGATGCGGTGCAGAGGGTCGGGATGGATGGGGTGCAGAGGGTCAGGATGGATGGGGTGCCGAGGGTCGGGATGGATAGGGTGCAGAGGGTCGGGATGGATGCGGTGCAGAGGGTCAGGATGGATGCAGTGCTGAGGGTCGGGATGGATGCGGTGCAGAGGATCGGGATGGATGCGGTGCAGAGGGTCAGGATGGATGGGGTGCCGAGGGTCGGGATGGATGCGGTGCAGAGGGTCAGGATGGATGCGGTGCAGAGGGTCAGGATGGATGCGGTACAGAGGGTCAGGATGGATGGGGTGCCGAGGGTCGGGATGGATGGGGTGCCGAGGGTCAGGATGGATGCGGTGCAGAGGGTCAGGATGGATGCGGTACAGAGGGTCAGGATGGATGGGGTGCCAAGGGTCAGGATGGATGGGGGTGCCGAGGGTCGGGATGGATGCGGTGCAGAGGGTCAGGATGGATGGGGTGCCGAGGGTCGGGATGGATGGGGTGCCGAGGGTCGGGATGGATGCGGTGCAGAGGGTCAGGATGGATGCGTGCAGAGGGTCAGGATGGATGCGGTACAGAGGGTCAGGATGGATGGGGTGCCGAGGGTCAGGATGGATGGGGTGCCGAGGGTCGGGATGGATGGGGTGCCGAGGGTCGGGATGGATGCGGTGCAGAGGGTCAGGATGGATGGGGTGCAGAGGGTCGGGATGGATGGGGTGCCGAGGGTCGGGATGGATGCGGTACAGAGGGTCAGGATGGATGCGGTGCAGAGGGTCAGGATGGATGCGGTACAGAGGGTCAGGATGGATGGGGTGCCGAGGGTCGGGATGGATGGGGTGCCGAGGGTCGGGATGGATGGGGTGCCGAGGGTCGGGATGGATGCGGTGCAGAGGGTCAGGATGGATAGGGTTAGGGTTTGATCTGGTTGCAGGAGGGATGAATGAGCGCTCCTTTTTCCAACCAGGCTGTAAAAGTCTCTGACTAAAGGAGCTGCTCAGCTCCTCTCCAGGCTGCTGCAGAGGGTGGAAGGTGGCGTCCATGATGGATGGAAGCTTGGACAGCTCCCTCCTCTCAGCCACTGAGTCCAGACTGCAGCCCAGGACAGAAATGGACAGTTTGTTCAGTCTCCTTCTGTCCCGCTCTGCGCTGCCTGGGGCCCAGCAGACAACAGCGCAGAGGAGGGCTGATGCCTCCACAGAGTCAGAGAAGGTTTGAAGCAGGAGACTGATCACTGCAAAGGACCTCAGCCTCCTCAGGAGGGGGAGGGAGGCAGCTCTGGGCCTCCTTCTACAGGGAGTCGATGTTCAATTCATCCATCCATCCATTATCTGACACGCTTGTCCCAGTTGGGGTTGCGAGGGTTTCTGGTGCCTATCTCCAGCAGTCAATGGGCGAGAGGCGGGGTCCATCCTGGACAGGTCGCCAGTCCATCGCAGGGCAACACAGAGACACACAACCATTCACAGACACACCTAAGGAGAATGTAGACAAGTCAATTAACCTAACAGTCATGTTTTTGGACTGTGGGAGGAAGCCGGAGTACCTGGAGAGAACCCAGGCATGCTCAGGGAGAACATGCAGACTCCATGCAGACCACTGAGCCACTGAAGAGCCCCTGTTCAATTCTATTCAGTTTATTTCTATAGCTCCAATTCACATCATGTCATCTCAGGTCACTTTATAGATCCAGAACAACCAGATCATCCAGTCAGATTGATTCAAAGTTTTCTATCTAAGGAAAACCAGCTGATTGCATCGACTCATTGACTCTTCAGCAATCCCTCACACTAAGCATGCTTGTAGCGACAGTGGAGAGGAAAAACTCCCTTTGAACAGGAAGAAACCTCCAGCAGAACCAGGCTCAGTGTGAGCGGCCATCTGCTGAGGCCCACTGGGGTTCAAGGAGACAGAAGCAGACATAGAAAAAGAAGCATAGATACAAAAGGCAACTGTCAACCAGCTCCACAGGAAAAGAAACTAGAAACAAAGGTGTTGATGGCAGCAGCACAGCTGATATTTCTCTCCAGGATGGAGTCACAGCCAAACAGGAACAGACCAGATGAAGCTACTATGAGAAAAAGCAGAGAGAGCAGAACGTTAGAGATTGAACTAACAGATTCTGCAGAGTGGGAGAATAGAGATAGAATGAAGCAGAATGATGAAAAAGGGGTCCCTATGTCCTCCAGCAGTCTAAGCCTATAGCAGCAGAACTATAGAGATAGAATGAACCCCCCCCCCCCCCCCCCCCCCCCCCGCGAGTTCTGGAATAGGCCCAGGCAACGTTTGATGTTTTG